AGAAGTCTAGGAAGATTAACTCTATAATACTACGCCTACTACTACTATAGTTTATAAAGACCTGTCCGTTACCGCGACGGGGAGACTAGGAGCCCCCTAACTTAAGGGGTGGCGCGTCGTCGTACGATAACACTATTAAGATTATAATAAGAATAGGGGATATCCCTTTTTATTAACTAAGCCAGAGCGCTATTATACTACACGATCCTAGACTCAGGATTATTAATCTATATCTTTAATAATCGAGGCCGTTTTACGGCCGTTAGACCACCTATAATTAATTTATTAACGCTTTAGGTAGGTACTTATGAGGCTCCTATCCTCGGATACGGAGATATTAAGCTATATATATAATCTCTAACGGGTACGAAGAGGCTATTACGCCTCCGTAACGTTATATACTATAAGGAATTCGTTACTAATATCGTCTCGGAACGCTAGCTACGCCTATAAGGTTACCGCTAAGATACCGTAAATACTACTGTTATTAGCTCCGCCGAGGACTAGGGTATCTATAAGCTACTGAATATCCACGGCTAGTATATAATCGAGCGCGCGGAAGCCACGGCCGCTACCGTAATCGCGGTCTCGGTAAGGCACCCCTATAATAACCCGTATAGAAGATCACGATAACCGCGGTAACCGTAGAAGACCACGGTATAACGGTAGTATAAACGCCTCGGCTATTACGGTACCGATACTCTTATAAAGATTATCGACGCTATTTAGGGGGTAAAGATAAAGGGACCACGTATAACGGACTATAACGTGTATAGATAGTCGTAAATGCCTACGTAGATCCGGCGGATACTATCCCTTTACCCGTTAAAGCCCGGAGAGGCCCTAGCTATTAATTTTCACGATCTAGAAGAGGCGGAGTAGTTAGCGGGCGGACTATATAAGCCTATTATATTCGTTATAGACGTGTATATAGGTTATATGTAGGATTACTACCTATAGAAGAGAGACTAAGGCTTTATCCTATATACTCTAAAGGACGTTTGTACCCTGCTTAAGACCTAATTCGACGTTAGGCTATATATTCTACGGGCCGATTCTAAGATATTTTAGCACCTAAAAGTCGTTACTTTCCTCGCTACTAAGGGGGTAGAAGGCTAGCCGTCGGCACTATATTTATAGGATTAGAATAGCATTATAGAATGGATTAAAGATATCGTTAAGAGAAGGGCGAGGGCTATAAGGATTAAAGCTAATCTACCTATATCCATCTAGCCTAAGATCTTTAAGACTACTATATATCTATATAATAGAACGCCACGATATATTAACGACTAGAAGATACTATACGAAGGCCTACGCGG